TTCTGTGCTCTGCCTACCTATCCCTCCACTCCCTTGCCCACACTGGCAACCACTGATCTTTTTACTGTCTTCATAGTTTTGCCTTTTTCCACAATCTCATAGAGTTGGAACCATAAAGTAGCCTTTTCAGATTGGCTTCTTTCACACGGTAATATGCCTTTAAGGTTCCTCCGTGTCTTTTCACGGCTTGACAGGGCATTTCTCTTTAGTGCTGCATAGTATTCCGCTCTCTGGCTGTGCCACAGTTTATCCATTTGTCCACCTAAGGGCATCGTGCTTGCCTCCAAGTTTTGGCAATGATGAGTAAAGCTGCCATAAACATCCATGCACAGGTTGTATGGACACTGTTTTCAACCCCTGTGTGCTATGCTATGAGTTTCAGGCCTCTTAAGTCTGACCCACTTGGAGTTGATGTGTTTTATGTGCGGTGTAAGGTAAGGGTCCAGTCTCTGTGGTGTAAGATGTGTGGACGTCCAGTTTTCTAAAAATCACTTGCTGAAGAGACTGTCCTTTCCCCATCGTGTAACATTGGCACCCTTGTTGAAGACCAGTTGACCGTACACACGTGGTTTTATTTCTGGGCTCTGTATTCTATTCCATTGGTCTATATGTTTCTCTTCATGCCAGTACCATACTGTTTTTATTACAACAGCTTTGTGATATATTTTGAATCTAGAAAGTGTGAGGCCTCTAGCTTTGTTCTTTCTCAAGAGTGATTTGGCTCTTTGTGATCTTTTGTGGTTCCATATGAATTTTAGAGTTTTCTCTATTTCTGTAAAAAATACTGTTGGGATTTTGATAGGGATTGTGCTGAATCTGTAGATATATTTGGGTAGTATAGACATTTTCACAATATTAAGTCTTCCAGTCCAGAAACATGGATGTCTTTCCATTTGTTTCTTTAATTTCTTTGATCAGCGTTCTGTAGTTTTCAGTATACAAGTCTTTTACCTCCTTAGTTAAGTTTATTCCTAAGTATTTTATTCTTTTTGGTGCCATTGTAAACAGGATTGTTTTCCTAATTTCCTTCAGGCAGTTTGTGGTTAGGGTATAGAAATGCAGCTGATTTTTGCGTGCTGATTTTGTATTCTGCAACTTTACTGAATTTATTAGTTTTAGCAGTTTTTTGGTGGCATCTTTAGAGTTTGCAACATTATGTTGTCTGCCAACAGGGACAGTTTTATTTCTTCCTTTCCAACCTGAATGCCTTTTACTTCTTTTTCTTGCCTACCTGCTCTGGCTGGGACTTCCAGTACTGTGTTAAATAGAAGAGGTGAGAGCGGGCATCCTTGCCTTGTTTCTGGTTCAGAGGAAAAGCTTTCAGTTTTTCACTATTGAGTATGATATTAATTGTGGGCTTTTTATATATAGCCTTTATTACGTTGAGTTACTTGCCTTCTCTTCCTAGCTTGTTGAGAGTTTTTATCATGAAAGGGGGTTGAATTTTGTCAAATGCTTTTTTTTTTTTTGCTTCTATAGAGGCGATCATATCTTTTATCTTTTATTCGGTTAATATGGTGTATCACATTAATTGATTTTTGTTTGTTGAAACATCCTTGCATTCCAAAGCTAAATCCCACTTGGTCATGGCATACGATTCTTTTAATGTGCTGTTGGATTCAGTTCGTTGGTGTTTTATGGAGGATTTTTGCATCCATGTTCATCAGGGATATTGGCCTGTAGTTTTTTCTTGTGGTGTCGTTGGCTTTGGTATCAGGGTAATGCTGGCCTCATAAAATCACTTTGGAAGTGTTTCCACCTTTTCAGTTTTTTGAAAGAGTTTGAGAAGGAATGGCATTAATTCTTCCTTAAGTGTTAAAGTGGACTTTACCAGTGAAGCCATCTATTCCTGGACTTGACTTTGTTGGGAGATTTTTGATCACTGACTCAATCTCTGTATTAGTTATAGGTCTGTGCAGACTTAATAAGACTAGAGATGAAAAACTAGACATTATAACCGATGCCAGAGGAAGAAGAATGGTCACAAGAGACCACTACGAACAATTACGGGCCTGCAAACTGGATAACCCAGAAGAAGAGGATCAATTCCTAGAATCAGAAACCTACCAAGACTAAACCACGAAGAAACAGCACACCACTTGAAAACGCCAGCCGAGGTGAGTGCTGCGGTGGGTCTGGTAGAGAGTTAACGGTCGGCATCACTGCTCTGGGGGTCACCAACGCAAGCATTAGTGGCACATACTTTGTTTTGAGGAATTTGGGGGGGAGGTACTTGAGACCTCAAATTGATAAAGAAGCAATGTTCAAACCAAATGACACATTTGGGGTTTAATTATGCTGCTTTTATTGCATCTCCTCGTTCTCACTGTCGTCCTGAGGACATCGTGTGGAACGAGTCGAGAAGGGAGAAATGAAGGCTCCTACCCAGCCCCAGACCAAGGGTGACGAGCTGCTCCAGACCACGTGGACCTCCCAGAGCTTTAAAGATGGCGCCGCAGGAACGGTGACCTGGTTGCAGGTCACATGGTCACCACACGTTTTCCAAGTAACACAAACACAGCAACTCCGGGTAAGACTAACCAGCTGCAGGAATCAGCGATGACGTCATTTAATTCCAACTCATGAAACTTGGTGTTGCCACCGTTATGCCGTCTCCCTTCCTGTGGCGTCAGCCCATCGTTCCTAAAAACATCCGGCCCATTTTTTGGTCGTCTCCTCTGTCCACCCAGGTGGGCCAGAGACACTTGGCTCTATGGTTGTGATTTCTTTTCCAGTGCTGGAACATCCCAGAGAAGCACGACTTTGCAGGCTGACTGGAGAGAGCTGGGAGCAAGCACTGACATTCACTCGGGTCCCTAAAGCCCCCAGGTTCTTCTCAAGAGTCGTTCACACATGAGAACCCACAGAAGTGAACGCCCTGCAAGGCCTTCTTCTCGTGAGGACATCACCGTGTTGCCCAAATACATCCAACATTTTACACACTAACACTTTCATGGACACACAAATTCCCTGCATCCGGGTAAACTTTAGATTCTGATTCAGCAGGTCCTGGGTGCGGCCTGAGACTCTGCATCTCTAACCAACTCCTGGTGGTGCTGTTGCTGCTGGTCCGTGGCCCACACTTTGAGTAGCAAAGTCTAGATGTCAGCCAACATGGGAAGCGTTAATTACTCTATGGTAGCTGCGCAGTCAAAGTATTAACCATTTGGCAACGTTGAAACGTATTTCGCTTGTGTGAGCGAAGAAGACCACCCTCGGTTACACTCCTGTGTCAGGATGACATGCACGGAAACACAGGCACGTCCGTATAAAGTCGAAACAGGAGGGGAACAGAGGGCAAGGAGAGCATTTGGATTTGCTGAGGTGACGAGCCTTTCAGAAAATCTCAATTTTTAAGTCCTCATAGGTTTGTAGAATAAGCAGTGTTTCTGAGTACATGACCCAGAAAGCAGGCTACTGAGCTGAGCCGCTTGCCGTCTACTTTAGAAGGGTGTTTACAGCCTCCTCATTCTGAGGACAGCCTGCGGCTTAACGAGACAAGCCTGGACGGTGACACGGCTCATACAGGCCGAAGGAAAAGGCAAGAAAAGGCCGATTATTTAAGCAGGAAACGCGTCGGTCGGGGGGGGGCCCTCGGCGGGGTCGCGTGGCAGGGGAGAGTAGCAGTCCTTCAGAGCTAGCATCCCGGCTGCTGCTGGAGTTTGCTGAGACCTGCGGCAGCGCAGGGCGGTCCTCGCTGACCTGCCGCCCTGCAGTGACCCTGGCTGCTTCCCAGGCACCCCGAGGAAGGGCTCACCCAGCTCTGAAGCCACTTCCCCTAAGTGGCAGGCCTGTCTTAAGGTCCGGAGACATCATCAAATCAGTGCGGAGGTGGCCGGGGCCCACTTTGAAGCGGACGTGGTCCTTTGGGTACACAAGCTCTGGCTCATTCGAGACACAGTGTTCTGAGTCCACAGGCGCACCAGCCCTGAAATCCTCTCCCGAGCAGGTGCCCGGCGTGGGACGGCCAAGCTCGACAGGCCCGTGGGCACCAGGAAGCTGAGGCTCACAGGCAGCAACCAGCCCTCCGACAAACCAGCACCGGCCCCAGGCTGGAAGAACTTGCTCGAGTTCCAAGAAGAGCTCCAAGTGCAAGGTTAAAGAATAGTAATGATCGCCAGGACGCACTTCTGACGTTTCCGGTCTCCAAAATGCCTTCCTATACATGATCTGATTGCATTTTCCCTACGACCTTCAGGCAGGTAACAGTGTACCCATTTTATAGACCAAAACAACTGAGTTTCTTCAAGGTTACAGGATGTGCCCAGGTTGTCACAGGTACGGAGAAAGGAGGGATTCCCCACGGGCGTTTTGGCTAGAATAAAAGCACTTTTTTCTAACCTAGATCCTTCTCTGTTTTTATTTTTTAAAGTAAAAACAGTAAAAAAAAATAATAACTTCTTGAATAAACAGAGGAGTCGAGAACAATAAAACCTTCACCGAGGTTTTTTCGATAATATTTTCAGTTCAGGGTTTGAACCGCAAAGTATATGCCAGATGACCCTCACCCTTGTCTGCAGGCTGAGTCGCGCCTCCCTCAGCCTTGAGCAATGGCTGTCGATTTCCCGGAGCTGCGCCCGCCCCCGCACCGGAAGCTCTGTGTTGTGCTCAGCGTGTGTGCAGGTGCCAGGCCCAACCGGGCACTTGTGGGCTTCCTCGGATATTCAGACTCTGCTTTCTGAGTGTCTGGGATGTGTGTCCCACAGCATCACATTCCCTGGCTCGGGATATAAACTCGCTTGACCTTTTCCCCATGAGCTTTAATGCAAATCCAGGGGCAACGGAGATGGGTTAATGACAGGGACATGCCCACCACGGTTTCCATCACCACCTGGAAGAGGAGAGAGGGAAGGGACCCAGGCGACGACAGGGAGAGGCTGCTCAGGGACCCATGGGTGGCGCACAACGAGTGTTTTATGTTGAACGTTACTAACGCTATTCAATAACAATGACAATATTATTAATGATAATAATGAGAAGCTGGCTGACTTCAAACTCACCTTGTCATCCAGAAGCAGCTCACAGAACTCCAGGAAGACCCACTTCTGCTGCTTCATGTACTCACGTCACCGATGGTGGCCACACCTTGGTGGCCAGGTCCCGGGTGGCACGGGGCTGGGGACGATGCTGAAAGGAGAGGAGAAAGGGGTTAGTCTCAGCCTGGCATCTGCCTAATGTCCACCAGAGGGCGCCATGGGATAGCAAATGCATGGGCACTGCACACTGCTCAGGCCACAGAAAAATTCCTACAACATTGGCGCATCCAGCTGGCCGGTCCACAAATATTTACTGAACACCTACTGTGTGCTGGCGAGGCCTCTGCCCTCAGTAAACACAAATATAAGAAATTAAATGTATAATTATATGCTGTGATAAGTGCTATAAAAGAACAGCAGCAGGGGGCTTCCCTGGTGGCACAGTGGTTGGGAGTCTGCCTGCTGATGCAGGGGACATGGGTTCGTGCCCCGGTCCGGGAAGATCCCACATGCCGCGGAGCGGGTGGGCCCATGAGCCATGGCTGCTGAGCCTGCGTGTCCGGAGCCTGTGCTCCGTAGCGAGAGACGCCACAACAGTGAGAGGCCCGCATAAGGCAAAAAAAAAAAAAAAAAAAGAACAGCAGCAGGGAGAGGGAGCATTAGCGAGAGTATCACAGAGACAGAAGAATCAGGGAGGGCCCCTGGGGGAGGGAAGGACTGTGCAAAGGCCCTGGGGCAGGGAAAGGCTTGGCAGTGAACTCAGAATTGGAGCTGGTTAAAATCAGAGAACACTGGGGTTGGAAGAGCTGGTGAAGCTCACGTGTCAGCCTACCAGGCTCAGAGAAGATGCTGAGGGGTTAACACGTGTGCACAGACACAAAGGTCATCAGCTGGGTGGGGCAGGGGCTCATCTGAAGCTGATTTCTCAAAGATGGGCTGACCATCTCCCCCAAGGCCCAGGAGCAAAGCAAACGGACTTCTCAAGATCAGGAATTTCAAAGACATTTCCGTCTTGGGTGGATTGTTAGGGAGGGGTCCTTGGTGGGAGCAGGGGTTGCATCTGCTGTGGAAAGCCACCCCAATGGGATGCAGGGGTGCGGGTTTAAGTGGCCAGGGAGGGGGGTCTGCACATGGCCTTTCTCTGGCCTCGGCCTGGGTGACACCTTGCCATCTAGGCACCAGGGGACGGTTGCTCACCGGTGGCCTTGCAGGCTCGCTGGCAGACACAGGGCTCTGCTCATCGCCCCAGAAATCTCGGTGACCAGGTGGCCTCCGTGAGGGTTACTCTGAGGGCAGGTCTGGCTTTCAGCCTAAGTGGCTGTGAGATACCATTGAAAGAGCCAGACAGGCTACAATGTCCATCCCTGCCACCTTCCAGCTGTGTGACCTGGGGCAAGCACCTTCACCTCTCTGGGCCTCAGTTTGCTCATCTTTAAAACAATGCAACAACAGTTCCTGCCTTGTGAAGACTTTGGGAGGATTAGAAAGAAGGAACCATACAGGGCTGACCGGGACGGTTGGTACACAGTAGGCACTCCAGAAACGGTAGCAACTATGACAGGCTGGTCCGATGAAGGGCTTTGCAGCCAGACCCGACGTGCAGCGGGCAGTCGGACTACTGGTCCATCTTGTTTGCCCTTTCTTGGTTTTTTTGGATTAACATGGAGTCCTCAGTTAAGATGATCTTGTAGGGTTGGGTTTTTTTAACCAAATAAAACCGTAACCAACTAAACAAAACCAAGTCCATTTATAACAAAGTCCCACCAGAGCAAACATTTGCAATCTCCCCAGAAAGCACTTTATCCATGGCAGGGAGGCCTGGGGAATTTTAAGAGGCTGCAGCTCGTGTCTTTGAAAACCACCAGCGCCTTCAGTTTGTCTGGGACTCTCCCCACTGGGGGTACTTTTCCATCTGCCCTCCTGTTTCCCAGCAAAGCCCAAGGCCTGTGGGCAGCCACCAAGGCGCTCTGGACCAAGGGTGGATGCTCTTGGGCAGCGGCCACAGACTGGTGGCCGTGACCTGGAACTGGCCCCCATGGGTGGGTCAAATACCCACAGTCAGTTGCTCCCATCTGTAAAACAGGAGGTTTCACCTAGAAATGCAGATTCATGGCTGCCTGGGCCCCATTCTTCCCTGGTCAGCAGCCTGGGGCCCAGGGCGGCCGTCCTTACATGCACAGTCATCGGGACAACGTTTGAATTCTTTTAAAGAACTTATGGGGGCAAAATTCACATAACATAAAACTGACCATTTTAAGGCATAATGCTCCCAGACTTCAGATAATACTACAAAGCTACAGTAATAAAAACAGCATGGTATTGGCACAAAAACAGACATATGGATCAATGGAACAGAACAGAGAGCCCAGAAATAAACCCACACACCTATGGTCAATTAATCTTTGACAAAGGAGGCAAGAATATACAATGGGAAAATGACAGTCTCTTCAGCAAGTGGTGCTGGAAAAGCGGGACAGCTGCACGTAAATCAATGAAGCTGGAACACACCCTCACACCACACACAAAAATACACTCAAAATGGCTTAAAGACCTAAATGTAAGAGAGGACAACCATAAAACTCCTAGAACAGCATAGAGGCAAGACATTCTCTGACATAAATCATACCACTGTTCTCTTAGGTCAGTCCCCCAAGGCAACAGAAGTAAAAGCAAAAATAAATGGGACTTAAACAAACTTACAAGCTTTTGCACAGCAAAGGAAACCATAAACAAAATGAAAAGAGAACCTATAGAATGGGAGAAAATGTTTGCAAATGATGTGACCAACAAGGGCTTACTTGCCAAAACATACAAACAGCTCATACAACTCAACAACAAAAAAACAACCCAACTGAAAATGGGTAGAAGACCTAAATAGACAGTTCTGCAAAGAAGACATACAGGTGGCCAACAGGCACATGAAAAGATGCTCAACATCGCTAATTATTAGAGAAATGCAAATCAAAACTACAATGAGGTACCACCTCACACCCGTCAGAATGGCCATCATTAAAAAGTCTACAAATAATAAATGCTGGAGAGGGTGTGGAGAAAAGGGAACCCTCCTGCACTGTTACTGGGAAAGTAAACTGGTACAGTCACAATGGAAAACAATATGGAGGTTCCTTAAAAACTACAAATAGAGCTACCATATGATCCAGCAATCCCACTCCTGGGCATATGTCCAGACAAAACTGTAATTCAAAAAGATGCATGCACCCCTATGTTCACAGCAGCACTATTCACAATAGCCAAGACGTGGAAACAATCGAAATGTCCATCGACAGAGGAATGGATAAAGAAGATGTGGTACATATACACAATGGAATATTACTCAGCCATAAAAAACAATGAAATAATGCCATTTGCAGCAACATGGATGCAACTAGAGATTATCATACTAAGTGAGGTAAGTCAGAAAGAGAAAGACAACTACCATATGATATCAGTTATATGTGGAATCTAAAATATGACACAAGTGAACCCATCTCTGAAGCACAAACAGACTCTCAGACATAGAGAACAGACTTGTGGTTGCCAAGGGGGAGGGGACTGTGGGAGCTTGGGGTGAGCAGCTATGTCTTTGCACAGAGGATGGGTAAACAACAAGGTCCTCCTGTGGAGCACAGGCAACTGTATTCAATATCCTGTGATAGAGCAGAATGGAAAAGAATATGGAAAAGAATATATATGTACAACTGGGTCACTTTGCTGTGCAGCAGAAATTAACACAACACTGTAAACCAACTACACTTCAATTAAAAAAAAGAAGAAAAACAACTGACCATTTTAAAGTAGACAATTCAGTGGCATTTGGTACCCTCACAGTGTTGTGTAACCACTACCTGTGTTTAGTTCCAAAGCATTTCCATCATCCCCCAAAAAACCCTAGACCCAACATCACTCCCGCTTCCGCAGCCCCCAGCGACCATTCACTCTGTCTCTATGGACTGGCCTGCTCTGGACACTGCTTGTGGACGGACTCACACGCTGTGCCTGGCTTCCTTCACTCAGCACGTCTTCGAGGCTCATGCGTGGTGGAGCGGGTCACGGCTGAGTAACACCCCATCACATGCTTGTATGCATATAACAAGCGTCCACCTCAATGCCACGCGGCAACCCCGTGTTGGGGGGGGGGCCTTCTCGCCAGCTGTGCTAGCCTGCTCTGGGCCTGTCCCCTCTCCCCCCGGCCCTGCTGGCTTTCTGCAACCCCGTGGGCTCCTCAGATGAGCAGCAAACATCCTCCCAGGAGCAGGGTCTCAGGTGGGTGAGAGACTTCCAGTCCGTGTCCTGGGCGTCCCGTACGTGTGCTCACACACACACGTGCACACATATGTAGCATAATGGCCCCATCCTGCAAGTCTGGCACTTTGTTTTTCACTTAACGATGTATCTTGGAGGTCGTTGGCTGCATGCTACTCCACCACACGGCTCTCCCATATCTAACGGGGTGCGGGGCCCTTGGCTCTGACCCTCACGTGGGGACAGCCCTGCCAGCACTCCCTCACCCAGCCTGGCCACGCCCTGGCCCCGTGCAGCCTGGAAAGGGAGGTCTGAGACATCCTCGCCACTTTCCTGGCCTCAAATCTCCCAGGGCCAACACTTGATGTGCCCTCGTTTTCCCAACACCTGACTTGGCATTCCTACTCTGCAGACATGGTATAGATGCTTGTTAATCACACAGATGGAAAAATGAACGACTACTTTTCACACACTGTTTAAGGCCTGGCTCAGTCACCACCTCCTCCAGGGAGCCTTCCCTCGTCACCCCAGGCTGGGTTAGGCCCCCCTTTAAGCCCACAGGCCCCGTACTCTCATCAAAGCAATTACGCCCACTGGGTGAGACTGTCAGCGACCACCCCGGCAGCTACTACTCCTCGGGTACCACCAGGAGTTGGCGGGACGCCCGGCACGGAGTGCTGAATGGACAGCCGGCAGATGCCTGGTGCACAGAGAGGGAATGCACGGCGGCCCACAGCTAAGCGTGCCTAGCAGGTTCGGCTTCCTCCGAGCCCTGTGCCGTGAGGGGGCAGGTATCATCACGACCACTTCGCGGATGAGGAGGGCGACGCTTGTAGAGGCGCAGCACCCTACGTGAGGCCACCCAGCTCCTAAGAAGGGCTGACCCCAGGCTGACCCCACCTCTCCAGC